TTCCCTTTACTGAATTAATCTGTTTGTGTCTACATTGTTCCTGCAGCACACAGACACAGAAGGACTGAAATAACAATAATACGGTTCATTTAAAAAGATACAAATTGATTACAAGAAGTAACAAATAAGTGACTAAAATAAATATGAACTTAATCTTAACATTAGAATAACTGAGTTAACACCTCGTGCAGATGAACAGCATGAGAAATGACTTCACTACTGCTATTTTGCTGAGGAATGTGTTCTGGTAAGTAGGGTAAAGCATCATTAGCTCAGTAAACCTGTTTAACAGGTTGAATACCAAAACTCAATGGAGAAGGAGAAACAACTTTTAAAAGAAGGCTGATTTTGGAAAACTTATCAGAAATATGGCTGTTATGACATCCTCTGTGATGTAAATAAACCACAGTGTTTGCTTCACATTATGTGGAAGTGGCAACTCGGAAGAAAAGCAACGAATATAATTTCATGGAAATGGAATAGAAAAATTTTGCCTTCCCTAACACAAATTGTTTATATTCTGGCACAAATTTAAAATATGGATAGATTCACTGTGATCTAATTATTGAAAAACACATGCTATCACACATTTCTGTATGCATTCTAAATTAACAACTGTATGTTGTCATAATTAATTTTATTTTTAATGGTGATATTAAAATAACTAAATTAGCACCTTCTGCCAGTGAACAACATGAAATATATCACTGCTCCTTTGGATTGGCCGGGACTCCTGTAGCAACTCAGAAAGACACTGAGCTTGTTGCCTGTACGCACACCACCTTTTTTTTGTCGGTGCACTCTGGAAAGGTTTAGTGAGTTTGCAATATTGCCTTGTAATGTTGTTCTACTTCATGAAGCTCACTGGACTTCAAACTACTTATGAGACTGAATTCCCATGAAAATAAGTATTATACAGATTCCCAGTAAATGTCAACTGATCATTCAATTTGAACAGAGGGCAGGATGCAAGGTAAAAATATTCCAGTTGATGCAGACACCCCCCTACCAGAGCAGGATCACCCAGACCAGGTCACACAGGAACACGTCCAGGCAGGTTTTGAATGTCTGCAGAGAAGGAGACTCCACAATCTCTCTGGGCAGCCTGTTCAGTGCTCTGGCACCCTCACAGTGAAAAGGTTTTTCCTCATGTTCAGATTGAACCTCCAATGCTCCAGCTTGCACCCATTGCCCCTTGTCCTGTCATTGGCTGTCACAGAGCAGAGCCTGGCTCCTTCCTCCTGACACTCGCCCTTTACAAATTTATAAACATCGAGGAGGTACAATGGAGTACAACACAGCGGTATTTAAAAGACAGCATTAAAAGGACTGTGATGTAAGGTAAGATAAAAGAAAGGTATTAACAGACAGGCATATAGGGAAGAAGTCTGAAAGAATCCTGTAAGATTTAAATGCAATGAGCACAACCTGCCCTCTGAGTCTGGGCTGCAATTTGGTTTGGCTTCTGCTTTAAATAAAGGGGAAAAAAGGATGACCTAGTCTCTCATGAGGCAGCAGTTTCTGCTAAATACATGCTCCCCTTGATGCTATTTTTAAGCTAATGTGAACAGCTTTAGCATCTCATTCTACATTAGGAAGCTGACCCCATTTTCAAAAAAATAACCCCTTCAGATATTTAATAAAGCTGGCAAAACAGAGTTTTGCTCTCCTCAACTCAATTAATTCACGAGAGTTTTCATATGAAACAACAGCTCGATGTGTCATCTTCTCGATTAGCAACTGCGACACTGAACTTAGAAAGCTTCAAACGCCACGGGGAGACCCGCACCCTCCCGCAGAAACGATCGCTTTGGAGAAAAATGCGGAGAGAACAACTATAGACGGCCTGGCAAGTGCTGATTTAATAAAGGTGTTTCCTTATGGTTACAACAAATAAAGGAGAAAAAAAAAAAGAACAAATTTATTTGTGCTTAGATAAGCGACACAAGAGCAGGTTTCCCCACAGTCCTCTCCCCTGCAGGCAGCTCAAACGCCGCCGGTCCCTCAGTGAAGGGAGGCGGTGGGGAGG